GTGCACTTTTTAGTAAATTTTAAATACGCATTTCTTGGGAAGCTATGGGAGAGAGTTCACTGAACTGCAAAATCCCTGTGCATACTACGGCCTCTTATTTTCACTGGATTGTATGAAAGTGATTGTTTAGTGACTGTCAGAGCTATGTGTTTTTTTCTGAAAGTATTTAAGAGGTACTAAGTGGTACGGGGCCGGTAGTCTCAATTGAATTGCCTGTCTACCAACACCCATTGTTCGCTCCAGAAAAAATCTCATCAGATGCTGCTAGCCAGGCTGGGCCTTAGCCTGTTACTGCAGGGCCTGTCAGAAATCATTAGCTAGTGATCTCTTTGACTAATGTTCCAGTTGATTGTCTGATTCATGTTTGAGATCTGTAAATGAGGCAGAAGCATCTTTACTGCTCACCAGCTGTAAAATGGCTAAACACAGCTAGATTTTCGGAAATCAAAATAAATGTATTTCCAATAAAGTTTGACAACAATATCAAGTGCAAAGCCAAGAGCAGAACTATGGTTTTGTGTTTTTTAAAGTTACAGTATTATAAATCAATATTATTCCATTGTGGTTTTGTCAGAGTAATGTATTTTACCAAAATAATGAAATACTTCTAGTGGCATTAATCTTGTGTTGAGTTGGATAGACGTTCTTTATTCAACATACATTCATACCTTTGATTTTTACTCTTTCGTTCATTTTCCCCAGATGTATCAATGTTTAGCACAGCCTATGTCCTTTTGTCTGAGTGTTCAGCATATGCCAATGAGGGGTGCGCATGTTTTTATGTACGTATAAAAGAAGTACAGGTGTGACAAGAATAAAATTAAAGGGTGGGATTTTGGGGAGGGGGAATCTTAGGGGAGGAACTGGTGTATCTTTTTTATATTAATGGAATAACCCCAGGAGGGTCACACTGGCATAATGATAACTGAGAAGCAAATCTGGGCCTGAGATCTGACTAATATTTTTCTTGGCAAAGGAGGTAAACATGAAATTCACCACTATCTAGAGAATTAGCACAAGAGCTATACCACAAATAGGCTCTAGTTTGAGGATTTTAGCAGAGCTTGTTACTTTACTTTACTTTTACACTGTAACTAATTGTAGCCACAATAGACTTACAAAGACCCAGGTAAATAGTTTATTTTGTAAATAGATGCTCCCACAGTAGCTGTCCTTCTTCCAGATGCAGCTGCATCCAGCTTTTAGTGCTAATCCAGAAAACTAGGGAATTTGTACAATGCATCCTGATTTTTTTAAATTTCTATTTTTTTTTTTTTTTTTTTTTTTTTTTTTTTTTTTTTTCCCCTGCATACACCAAAGTAATCGTGGATGGCATGTGGGATGGTTGTCTGTAATGTGAAAGACAAGATTGAAGTCTTCACCCTGTCACCTTCCCACATCCTCCAAGAATGACTGAAACCCACTGATCATTTCTGTATTAGACTTTGATTTTCATTTTATTTATTTTTTTTAACCAGTATTTCCACTGCGGACCCACAGAAGTAGGAAGTTTGAGACAGTCAGTGTGGTCAGTTCCATAGAGCCAAAAACTGATTCATGACTGGAACCAGTACATTTTTTATAATTTTTATTTAGTTAAACTTACCTTACACTTCCTCTTTAGAGGTAGAAAGAACTGTACATTATTCTAATCTGTTCAACTGCATATACAATTATCTTTTTCCACTCATAGCTAGGAGTATCAAACTCTCTTTGAAACAGTATGGAAATCTTCTAATGGAGCCTAGCATGATCAGGATAAATCTATTGCAACAGCTTCCTTCCTCAGAACAATTTGTACATAGCAAATTAAAAATCAAACAAACAAACAAAACCCCAACAAACAAACAACACCCCCACCCCCCCAACCACAATGACAAAAACCAAGACATATTGCCCCTTCGGTAACTCTAAATCTCTGAAAACTTTGTCGGAGTTTTAAGAAGAAAATTCAGCCAGATTCATATAATACCCAAACCCACTGTTTTTATTGTACATTTTCAGTATAGATTCTTCTGTAGTCTCATTCAATATTTCTTTACACAATGTTATATATTTTTATTTGCATTTCCTTAACATGAAGGAAATTACCAAACTGGCAATTTAAAGCACAATATTTACCATAGAATACTGAAGCAGGAGCACCTTACTTAATAAGAAGACTTCTATTGTCTAAAACAATTTTTCCATCTTTTTTGTTTGTTTGTGTAATGACAGCTTTATTCTCTAAGACAACAAATGCAGCAAAACTGCACATTTGTGTAGGAGTTTTCAGCATTAATTATTGACATGTTCCACCTTCTCCTTAGATGTCACTGTCCTCTTCATAGATTGGCCAAAATATATATAAAAGACCCCTTTCTGGCTATACTTCTGTCTAAAAGTAGGAAAACTTCAATGGGAGCTGATAAATTCCATTAGATCCAAATGATATGTGTTCCAAATATTTACTCACTTGTCAGAGAGCTAATAGATGAGTTGCCCAGCTATGCCCACTCAAAACTCTCATGCCACATGCATGTCTTCTCATATATGGTATTCACAGGAACCCAGTTAGATGGACTGATTGTTCATATCCCATGAAAATAAACAGGAAATTTTTCATGTCCGTTTGTTCTTTTGAGGCTCTTTACAGATTTTGGCAGACATCTCTGTCAATTCCACTTGATTTTCCAGCATGCAAGCTTTATAATTTTTCATCTTATATGAAAATTAAAAGTGTGCTGTAATTGCAAGAGGCTTTGGGTGAAATCCTCTAATGCTTACATTTTATCCTGCCCTACCTCTTCTTTTTTCTATCCTGAATGCTGAAGGTAAGGCATGCACCATAGGTGAGGAGGCCCCTCTCCACTTCCTCTGCATAAATGGATACTGGGCATCTGTAGCACACAGACACACTACACAGTTCCTTTCCATCAGGAATGTGTCCCTTTCTGTGTCCCTACATAGTAACTGAAGCTGGAGGAGTTACTCTGAAATACAGACATAAAGAGTATCTTTCCTATTGTAAATTATTAAGATTTCCTCCCTTCGATGTAGATTATTTATTTATTGTTATTTCAGAATTATTTAGGATGAAACATCTGATTTGTGTAGAGTAGTAGTAACCTGGGATCAAAATTAGCACTTTTCATTAATATGAGTGAGCGGCTTTATTTATTTACTTACTTCTTTCTAGAGATGCAGTGAACCAACTTTTTACTTTAGCTACTCTGTGTATGGTTTTTCCTTGATTTTATCTGTACTTTTCTGATATCTTTGATAGAAAAAAAAGTATAGTAGCCTAAGCCTTAGGTGCCTAAGTAACATTTCTGTGCTAGATAGTAATCACTAGAGGCCCTGTGTCCTAGTTTAATATTGCAGAGGCCAGTTTAAAGTAGGAGTGATTTCAGTCCAGTACATAAAATTTTTTTAAGCCTCCTGACACTATTATGTCAGGTTTTCTGGTATGGATGCGATTATTATAACAAATGTCATAGGTCCTCTGAGTTAAATGCAAAACCAAGAACTGTTTCTTGGACATCTGTGTGCATTTCTGTTACCATCCTGTATTATTAGAAGGACACATTGCAGACCTTGACATCTTTGAGTATCCATTCAGTTTAGGGCAAATTCTGAACTGATGTGACAACTTCACCTAACTGAGGTGTCTTTATACATTTATTGTCATATCTTATGCATTGATGATTCAACTGACAATGACCTTCAAGTATAGGATGCAATGCTGATGTACATGAGGACATAACTGATGAGAAGGTACTTGAGGGATGATAAATAGTGCGGTGCACATTAATAAATGCTACCTTTTGTGCACACAGAGGTTATAGAACTAAAAAATAAGAGCCTTTTCCAGGGATACTCATGCATGTAGTAAAACTCTTTCAAGAAGTAGGAAACCTGAGTAGTGGAAAGAGTGATAGAAATGGTGACATCCTTGGCATCATCACACACAGGTTATCTTCATTGGAGCCATGCACTTTGCCAATGATGGGGGATGCAGACTTCATAGAAAATGCCCTATCTTTTCCCTCAGTATAAATAGGCATCTTGGGGCATGCAGGATACTGTCATATGTCCCTGGGCATCTCCCATCCCCCTTCAGAGCTAGTAAATGACATTCACTACTCCTTTCTTGGAAATGTGCAAAAAGGATTTCCATAGATAGTCTTTGGAGATTTCCTGTTTTCTCATGTGTGTAATAGGTTGGGTCAAGCAACAAAGAGGAGGGAGAGAAGAATAGGATTTAATTTTATATGCACTCTGCTGTCATCACCATTGGAAAAAAAATGGATGAAAAGAGAAATTATGCAATACAGGTGATGTCAGTGTTAAATTAAATTAAGATCATATGGTTTTATGCAGTAGCTATAAGCCTTCTGTTATGGAAGACGCCATGATAATAGAGTACATTCCAAATACATGTTAAGACATTGATTGTGTGCATGAATAATTAGTCATAAAAATAACAACATTATCTACAGTATTTTAAGCCAACACAGTTTAAATGTATAAGCTATAGTTTATTCACTTTTTGGGCATCTGTACTAAGAGAAGATGTCATAGTGACAGCCTAAAGAAAGAAAAATATGAAGTTATATTTAAACATATCACTCTAAAAGACTATGAATACAAAGGATACCGTCTTAAAGTATTGATTATCAGAAATTCATAAAAGCACAGCCTAGTAAAGTCTTTTAAATTATAGATAAGGATTTTATATTGAAAATAAGGTAATGCCTTTTTGGGTTTTTGCAAAGTGCCAAAGTACACGGATTTAAATGCAAGTTGTATCTTTTTAATTTGTTATTATTGAGTAGCTTCCAACAGTTGTAAGTAATGATCAAAAACCTAGTTCCATTACAGCTAATTAAAGAAGAAATGTACAAGTGGGAAAACTTTAGTTTTGTGTTTCATATGGACACAGAGATTGAAGGAAAAAAAAAAAAAAAGTGGAAATTCTTAGCATTGTATTTATTGGGTTTTATTTTCCTGTTTCACAGATCTTGAACACCGCTGTAAAAATCTTCACAGCACTTTGTGATTCTGCTGGCCTAGGCAGAGCATATGCAGCTATAGCCAAGATCCTGGAAAGGTAGGTTAACACATCCTTGTCTGACTGTCAGTGCAGATTCATTCAACTGTGAAAGACTTAAATTGTTAGAGGTCTGTCGCTTCCCATTACTGACTGCTTAAATTTTAAGCAGTGCCCTTCTTGCAGTAAGTGACCCTTTCATCGAAAGTTATTTTCAACTGGCACGCATTTTTTTAAAGCGTATGATCCAAGCTTTTCTTTACCTGTAAATTTTTTTTTTTTTTTTTTTTTTTTTTCCTCCACATTTTGGGGCCTTTTTTAATACTTTTTTTCACAAGTTTGGGTGAGACCTCACTGGAAAATAGAAATCCAGGGACAGAAAAACCTGAAGAATGTAGCAAGCTTCAGCAGGTGTCTCAGTGTAATTTTTTCTGAACTGTAAGTTTCCATTTGTTACACTCACTTCTTCTGTGCAGGCATTTTTGTTTGTGCATGTATAACTAGATAAAAAATTGTTGCAAGTAAGATGCTTGTCTTCAATGTTTTTATTTCATCATCTGGCATTAAAATCTTCTTCCAGGTGAATTAGTTTGAAACTACTTCAACTTTTAAACAAATAAATTTGACATAAAGTAGTCTAATGCCATTGTCTTATAAAGTAGGAAAAAAGAGATCAAAGTGAAGATTGCAACATATCCTTGATTCATCCTATGTTTGGGGACTTCAGTGCATATGATGCATGATAGAGGTTGGCAAATGGTTTATAGAGAAGGATGTGTCACCAGTTTTATTTCAGTGTATGGAACAAATTCTCCTCTTTGAATTAGATCCCTTGTCTCTTGGACTTTCAGAGCATATAGGAACCAGCCACAATCACAATTCCCTTCAACTCTTCAATACGTAATTCATGGCTACTCATATTCTGAGCATCCTAAATAAGCGCATGGGATAAGATCTTCAAAAAGCCACAGAACAGACTTAAAATACCAGCTCCCATTTTCAAATCTGTCTTAAGCCTAAATGAGAAAGATTTAGTTGCTAGGACACTGGCTGTTAAAATGAGTGACTTTGCAATGAGTTCAAAGGTGTCTGAGCTCTCAGTAGCATTCACGGATGCCTTGTATTCACAAAAAGCAGCAGTCTGGGTAGAGGGTGGCACAAGATAGCCAAGAGGATGTTCCTAGAAAACCATGTATATTAATTTCCTCTTTCTGTGATTTAGGCATTGTGGAATGAGAGCGCATAGACTTATTTACTCAGAAGTTTCAGATTTAGAGATCCTTCTGAAGTCAGGTTGCTAAACCATTCATGTGAAAGATCATGCCAGAGAAAATTCTTAAAAGCAGACCTAAAGAAGGAGTGGCTAGTGATTTTTCTTCTGCATCAGATCAGTACTCCACACCTGGGAGCATTCTCTAGCTATCTGGGAACAGTCTCACTGCTTCCTAGTTGTTGCAGTTTGCAAAAGAGGAAAACAAGCAGGTAAGGAGAAATGAGAGAAGAAATGAAGAGCAATTAGACTCCCCAGGTTAGTATTTAAGGCATTCTCCTCAGAAAGGAACATTCTGATTGATTCAAGTGGAGGAGGAACTCACTCTCATGTCTAGGATCAGGGATTTAACTGCTAATTAATCATAAAACCTTCCTCTGGAAAACGGTTGCTGTGGTATTTTTTTAAAAAACTTATCTGGTAGTTATGCCCTGAGAGCATTAACCAAATTAGACATCTTACATATGTGCCTGCCTTGAAGAGCTTTATATACATGATAGGCATAAACTGTTTAGCCCTGTATCATGACAATTCTCAGCACCTTTCAGCCATTTGAGAAACTTTTATATAGAAAAGTCTGGGCAGCTATGAGTCATAGAATCATGGAACAGATGGATTGGAAGGGACCTTTAAAGTTCATCTGGTTCCAATCCACCTGCAGTGAGCAAGGACATCTTCAACTAGATAGGTTGCTCAGAGCCCCATCCAACCTGACCTTGAATATTTCTAGGGATAGGACATCTATAATACCACCTCTCTGTGCAACCTCTTCCAGTGTTTCGCCACCCTCATAGTAAAAAATGTCTTTCTTATATCTAGCCTAAATCTATCCTCTTTTAGCTTAAACCATTATCCCTTGTCCTATTGCAACAGACTGTACTAAAAAGTTTGTCCCCATCTTTCCTGCAGCCCCTTTAAGTACTGGAAGGCCGCTATACAGTCTCTCCGGAACCTTCTCTTCCCCAGGCTGAACAACCCCAGCTCTCTCAGCCTGTCCTCATGACAGAGGTATTCCATCCCTCTGATAATTTTTGTGGCCTCCTCTGGACCTGCTCCAACAGGCCTATTTCTCTCCTGTGCTAAGGACACCCGAACTGGACACAGCACTGCAGGTGGGGTCTCATGAGAGTGAAGTAGAGGGAGAGAATCACCTCGCTTGACCTGCTGCTCACACTTCTTTCAATGCAGCCCAACGCGCACACTGCCAGTTCATGTCCACCTTTTTATCCACCAGTATGCTCAAGTCCTTCTCCTCAGGGCTGCTCTCAATCTCTTCATCCCCAGCCTGTATTGATACTGGGGGTGGCCCTGACCCAAGTGCAGGACCTTGCACTTGGCCTTGTTGAACCTCAGGAGATTCACATGGGTCCACTTCCTGAGCTTGTCCAGCTCCCTCTGGATGGCATCCTGTCCCTCAGACATGTCAACTGCACCATTCAGCTTGACATTGTCTGCAAACTTGCTGAGGATGCACCCGATCTCACTGTCTGTCATTAATTAAGATATTAAGCAATACTGTCCCAATATGGACCCCTGAGGAACTGACCTCCATCTGGACATTGAGCCACTGATCACCACCCTCTGGATGTGACCATCCAGACATTTCCTCATCCACTGAACAGTCCACCCATCAAATCCATATCTCTCCCATTTAGAGAGAAGGATGTTGTGGGGGACCATGTCAAAGGCCTTACAGAAGTCCACATAGATGCCATCCATAGCTTTTCTTTTCTCCAGTGCTGTAGTCACTCCATCATAGAAGGCCACTAGGTTGGTCAGGCAGGACTTGCCCTTGGTGAAGCCATGCTGGCTGCCTCAAATCTCATGTCCTCCATGTGCCTTAGCATAGATTGTAGGAGGATCTGTTCCATGATCTTCCCAGGCACAGAGGTGAGGCTGACAGGTTGGTAGTTCCTTTCTGCCCTTTTTTAAAATGGATGCAATGTTTCCCTTTTCCCAGTCACCAGGGACTTCCCCTGACTGCCATTATTTTTCAAATATTGTGGAGAGTAGCTTGGCAGCTCCATCAGCCAATTCCCTCAAGACTCGGGATTGCATCTTGTCGGGTTCCATAGACTTATGTATGTTCAGGTTCCTCAGGTGATCACAAAACTGATCTTCTCTTACAGTGGGACAGATTTTGCTCCTCCAGTCCCTGTCTTCTGGTCCATCCACTTGAGAGGTGTGGTAAGAGAGGCTGCCAATGAAGACTGAGGCAAAAGGGTTGTTGAGTACCTTAGCCTTCTCCTCATCCATTGTTATCAGTTTGCCAGTTGTATTCACCCTGGTGATACACAGTTTTGGCCTTCCTTTTCTGGCTGACATGCCTGTAGAAGCCCTTCTTATTATTCTTGGCATCGCTTGCCAAGTTCAGCTCTAGCCATGCCTTGGCTTCTCTGACCACATCCCTACACAAGTGTGCAGCATCCCTATACTCTTCCCAGGATACCTGTCCCTGCTTCCACTGTCTATGCATTTCCTTCTTGCCCCTTAGTCTGACCAACAGGTCTCAACTCAGCCATGGCCATCTCTTGCCTTCCTTTCCTTATTTCTTACTCCTGGGGATCAAGACCTCTTGTACTCTATGGAAAGCATCCTTAAAGATCTGCCAGCTCAGTTCTCCTCCCAGAGGACAGTTTCCCAGGGAGTTCTATTGACTAACTCCCTGAAGAGCTGGAACTTTTCTTTCCTAAAATTCAGGGGTCTGACTTTACCCTTCTCCTGATCCATATCCCTGAGGGCTGCAAACTCTACCAGCACATGGTCACTGCAGCCCAGGCTGCCTCCAGTCTTGATGTTAGCAATTAGCTCACTTGCATTGGTGGCCTTCAGGTCAAATATCGCATCCCCTCTGGCAGGGCTGTCTATTACCTGGCTTAATAATTTATCCTCAATGCACTCCAGGAGTCTCCTGGATTCCCTACAGCTCACTGTGCTACTTTTCCATCAGATGTCGAGGTGGTTGAAGTCCCCCAGCAGGACAGAGCCTACGACCACAGGGCCTCCTGTAGCTAGAGTAAGAAGGCTTTGTCAACAGGTTCCCCTTGATTGAGCCACAATGTTCCCTCTGTAGCCTGGATCTCTAATTCTTACCCATAAGCTTTCAACCTGCTCGTGACTATTCTTCAGAGACAGCTCTTCATGCTCTATCCATTTCTTGATGTAGAGGGCAACCCCTCCACCCCTCCTTCCTCACCTGTCCCTTCTGAATAGCCTGTAGCCATAGATAGCCACACTCCAGTCATGGGATTCAGCACACCAAGTTTCAGGAATGGAAACTAGAGTTGAGTCAGAACTGAATTCTGATATTCAGTTGATCAAAAATTCAGAGAATCACAGTTCTGGATATATGCTCCAAAACCTTAAAAAAGTCTCACATAAGATACTTAAACCTGTTTTTGTAGGTGGGCCTTATGTCTTCTTGAACACTTGAAATATATGACTGAGGGTCATAGAAACTTGGGAAGTTTTCATCCATTGTTTCAATGGGGCAATTTTATAAGAAGGTCTCACAGATGGGGAGACACCAATCCATAAACCCCATTTATTTATTGTTTTAAGTAGAAATGGATACCATCCTTGATTAATTTTAGTGTATCACAAGCAGCAAAAAAAATGGAGTAGGCTGTAAACTATCTCTGACATGAGAAAATAGTCTAAGCAATATTTGAATTAAGTGTTGAGGAAGCTGGCCAAAGCAAGGCTTCTTTCGATTATCTTTGAAGGGCTGTGGCAACTAGAAGAGTTCCTAAGGATTGGAGGGTTACAGACATCTCCTCTGTCTTCAAGAGAGAGGATCCAGGAAACTTCAGGCTGCTCACCCAGACTCCAATCCCTGAGAAGGTGATGGAGCAAATAATTCCAGAAGCCATCTCCAAACTTGTTATAGACAAGAGGATGATTGGATTTAAGACAGAGAAATCATGCTTCACCAACCCAATAGCATTCTAGGATAAAGTGACTGGCCTGGTGGATGAAGGAAGAGCTGTGGATGTTGTTTCTGTCAATTTGAGCAAGGCTTCTCGCACTGACCCTCGTAACATCTTCATATACAAACTGATAGAATATGAGATAGAAGATAAACAGACGGTGAGGCAGACTGAAACCTAGCCGAGCTCCTGGCCTCAAAGGGTTGTAAGCAGCAGCATGAAGCCCACTGGGAAGCCAGTCCCTGGTGGTATCCTCAGGGATCAATACTGGCACCAAGACTGACTGATATCTTCGTTAATGACCTGGATGGTGTGACCAAGCGCCCCCTCAGCATGTTTGCCAGAAACACAAAAGCAGGAGGAATGGTTGATCCGGCAGGTAGGTGTTTGTGCTGCCAGTCAGAGGAGCCTCAGCAGGCTGGAGCAAAGGGCCGACGGCAGTCTCGTGAAGTTCAGGGAAGGGAAATGCCAAGTCCTGCACGTGGGGTCGCACAAGCCCAGGCACCGGCCCAGGCTGCGGGCTGACTGGGTGGAAAGGAGCGTGGCAGAGAAGGACCTGGGTTTCCCGGTGGACAAGTTGCCTGTGAGACAGCAATGCACACTGGTGGCAAAGGTGACCAGCGGGATCCTGGGCTGCATTAGGCAGAGCGTTGTGAGCAGGTCGAGGGAGGTGAGGTCCTTTGCCTCTCCTCAGCACTGGTGAGGTCACGCCAGGAGTGCTGTGTCCCATTCTGGGCTCCCCAGTACAAGAGACATAGTGGAGTGAGTCCAGGGAAGGGCTGCAAAGATGTCTGAGGGACGGGGAGCATGTGTCCTAGGAGGAGAGGCTGAGGGAGGTGGGATGTTGAGACCACAGAAGAGAAGGCCCAGGGGGGATCTTATCAGTACCTCTTAGGCAACAGTAAAGAGGAAGGAGCCAGGCTCTTCTCAGTGGTGGTCAGTGACAGGACAGGAGGCAATGGGCAAAATACATGATATTCCATTTCAACACAAGAATAATTAAAAAATACTGTGAGGTTGAATGCTGGAAAAGGTTGTAGAGTCTCCATCCTTCAAAAGTCACTCAAAACTCTGCTGGACACCGGCCTCCTCTAGTTGACCCTGCTCTGAGCAAGGCAGGTGGAGATTATCTCCAGAGATCCCTTCCAAACTTAACAATACTGTGATTCTGTGCTCTTTGTCTTAAACAGTTTTTCTAGCCAAATTCCCTCTTGCCATGTAATGCTCTATAATAGAGTACTTTGTGTAACCCACTATGGTGGATATTTCAGACAAACGTACTTTTCAAAATTCAGTAACAGAATTTTCCATGAACAGAATCCTGCTGGTGCATCTCTAGTGGCTCTTCCTTGGAGGGAGGAGGAGAGGGAATAGAAAAATGGTTTGAAACAAACAATGTCAAGAGAGACATTAAAAAAAACCAAACCAAACCAAAACAAAACCCAAAACATTGTAAGTTTCTTTTTACTCCCAGACCAAACTTTTGGATATTTCTGGCAAGCCTGTTCAGACAACACTGGATAAATGCATGAATAATTACTGTGTGTGACAGAATCTCCATACTCGGCTTGATCACTTTTTCTTTATTTTTATTTTTACCTGATCTAGGCTAGACTCATGCAAACTAGTTTAAATTTGATTGATAATATCTTTGCAAAGAAAAAATTACTGTTTCCCTAAAATAATGCATTATAATCATAATGTCTGTGAGAGTTTGCACTTATTGCCTTGTGACAGGTTGAGGAAAATGGCTGAGCCCTCCCAAATTGCTCAGGACTTGTCTATGGCCTTGGAATTCTTTGTGAAATCTTTGCTGCAGATGTTTCCACAGACCACGGGAAACTGAAAATCTCTATCATGTGCATTTAGGCATGTCATTTTGCAGGGGAAAACCTGACATAATAGCATCATGTGCTTGAGTTATTCTGCCAGTGTCCACCATGGTAATGACTTCTTGTGGACACATGATTTATACATTCAATTCAATCACATGAGCGATCCTATAAAAGGTGCATATTTTCATAAAAGTCTAATAGGGGTAAAAATCTCATAGGGCATTTTAGCATGAAACTGGAAAACGAGTTGCTGTAGATATGTAATCTCTTCTGCTGAAGTCATCATAACTGTTCTGTGGGATCATGAATGACTATATCTTTAGGAAATTACATTTTATGCATTTACAATGGTGATGTCTAAGGAGATAGAAAGTATATGGCTGTATAAAATAACATGTAGATTTTTGAAGGAACTATAAAATATTAGCCCTTTGAGTAGGAAAGACCTGTTTATCATGTTATCAGGTCTTGTGTAGGATAAAGTGTTTCAGTAATCCTTCTAGCATACTTTAAATATCTCAAGCTGTAGTGCTTTTAAAAGTACTTCCTTTGAAAAATTGTTAAACTGTACCAACTGATTGCTAGTTGGCATAAGTGAAGTTCTAACAGTAAGAAATATCTTTCTGATATGTATCAAATTGATTTCTGTTTGCTTGAAAGAGGTTATATGCCCTAGCAGTTTTCATATTTTCTATATGTGGAGCAGAGGGTTTTATGTGAAACATAAAAAATGGCCAAAAATACATCAAAACATTTCTATTAATTCATGAAATTAAGAAAACCTTTTTACATTTTCTCCTGTCACTGATTCCATTTGCTTTATTACTTTCAGCCTCTAGCCCACAAACTTGGTGGCACAATCAACAAACCCCTTAGTGGCTGTTTCATCTCTGCTCTATTTGATTTCTCCACTCTGAGTAAATGATTAAGTTTTCATGCATTGGTTCAACCAAAATCTATGTTCACTCAACCACATCCTTTATTGATTACTTCTACTGCAAACAGTAGGCCAAGTGTGATATACATAATTGGACAGTTGTCAGGGGATGTGGGTGTTAACAGTCCTGTTTTCCCAATTGGAAACTGGAATCACCTTGATACACAAATATTCTGCACTGTTTCATTCTCATTCCTTGGACCGAAGAGTCCTTTTCCTCAGAATATATGTTTTTAACTCTCAAAGGTCTGGTTGAATGGATTTAATGATTATACCATATAATATGCTCTTCAAGTTGCACCTGTGCACTGCATATAGAAAACTAGAAAAACTGGAATTAATATTTGTCTAACACTTTAACCTTGTCCTTTAACTTATATAAATCATATGCTGCATTTCTGTGGGGAAACATTTTATTTCCTCTTCTTAGGAAATGAAATAGGTTTAAAAAAATGTATTTCTAATTCTAAAATTTAGAAGCCTTTTGACATTTGGCAAATATTTACAGTATAGTATATTTAATATTCTCATGATGTGAAAATACTTAAATTAGGAAACTTTAGTAGATCCAACTCTGCGTGACAACTAAGCTTTACAGTAGCATATACTCAAACATTTCAAACATGTTAGTTTGCAGTGTTTTAGCATCCTTTCGTAGCAATTTAGCTCACCTCAGTCACATGCAGATAGTCACTGAAATATTGTAAATTTGCAGCCATGCTTTGCTATGTTTCCTGTTCCGTGGCACATGCTTCCCTTTTATAATTACTCTGACAGTATAAGACAGGGAATTGCAGACTTCTGCCAGATTTTGAAAGCACATATCCCTAATACAGTTTATAATAAAAACCATAATGTAAATAAACCCCAGTCAGTCATTTGCTGCAGGAATATAACTTGACGGTGTTTTTAAAATGGTGAGAAAACGAATCACAATTCTTTATCACTTTCAGGAACTTCTATTTCTGTGAGTTTCTTAATTAAGACTGGATTACCTGTCTTGCTTGGTGGCTTGACATTTAGCATGCTACACTCCTACATTAGTGACTCAAGTTCATGGCTAATATTGAGGTCAGCTGCAGTAGCACTTCAGCCTTAAAGGGAAAAAGAGCACAGTGCCTGACTCACAAGCAAAGCGAGATGTCTATCTCATATCTTGTAATCCTTCTGCAGAGATCTTATATTGTTAATATGACTGGCTTTATTAAAAAAAGGAAATCTGCAAATGTTATTGTCAAAGTACATTAGCCAATTTTCAACTTCGATTCAGCTGTGACCTCGGGTTGCTCTGATCTCCCTGGGATTTGGGGGGTGACACCTGCAATCCTCAGTTTATAGGTTTGCCTGTATGACTCCAGCAACCTTTGATCCACCCAGCCAAAGTGCAGTATTACGCTCAGGGAAAGGCTGTCATTCCCAGAAGTAAGAGACAGCGTTGTTATGGAGCTGCTGCTACTGCACCACCAGGGTTCTAGAGTAAGGAATGACAGGAGCACAAAAAGTCTTACTTGAAAACTAGTCTTCTAACCTCCTTCCTCTATTTTGTCAGGATGTGAGTCCAGATGTATTGACAATCTTATCAGCTGCTCAGTAGAAAAAATATCAAAATACTGGAAACTCCAAATACCCTGTAAAATTGTCACCTGCATTTTCATTTTTGGCTTTAAAATATGACACAATAGTCTGAAAAAGAATTTTGGTTTATTTCACTCAAAGGATCCAGTTCTGCCCTCAGAGGTTCTGCGTGGACTAGTCTGGTCTCAACACAGGTAGTGCCTAGACAGCAGTTTTGGAAATAAAGTCCAGTCATGGATGAGTCATCACAAAGTAAAGTTACTTCAGAACAGGGGGATAGATCTTCAGCATTTGGAGAAGCCATCTGAGTGAATATTTAATTTTGTTCTTGTCCTTTGCTTTCAGTCAGGGAAAAGCAGCTGAAACTATGAAGTACTTGGGAGAGTTTATGAAGGTTGCTGAGAACACTCATCTAAGCCAAAGCCTGGTGGATGCATGTGTATTGCTTGGGAATATTTATAATGAAAGAGTAAGTACTGGTTGTAGTAATGATGTCAAACAATTATTTTTGACTCATGGTAAAAATCTGGGTTTGCGTTTGAGGTGACACAGAAGGATTTGATCCAGATATTTTATCTCATAAGAGTTACCAAAGGAGAAGATACTGTGTGACTAAATAAAATGTGCCTTAAGTTTTTGGGAAAGGTGAAAATTTCACATCATATTTAACACACAGGTTTTGTTCCAGAAAGGGTGGATAAAACCTCCAAATTCAGATCATAACAAACTTGTGAAAAATCTGCATCCAAATTACTGTTGGGGCCACATATGTCCATAAAGAGTCATCAATTAACACAAATGAAATTTTATTGTACTATACACTTAAATTCACACTTTTTTTTAAATGAATGTATACTATATTGCATACTAATAAACAATTTTTAATCTTATCTTGATTTCTTACATTCTCTCAGGAAAATTTATGAAACGGGTGCTAACAACAAATAGTTTGACAAAGTTCTGAGTTGGTAGTGGGAGGGATTTCTCTTCTATATGCCTCCATCCATCCTGGTGGCTTTGATTTGGCCTGTTTAAATCGATAGATTGGCAATGACAGACGATATTAAGATGGATGTAACTAAGAAACTCTTTTTATCATAGTTTCTCTCTTTTGAAGTGCTTCTTTCTGCCCCATGCCCCAGTCTCTGAATTGCTCCTCTAGGGTGGCCCTAGAGTTGTTCTGTCGGGTGCCTGTCTGGGTAACGATTTCCATGCTTACTCTGTCCCTTATGGTATCTAGAGATGCAGCTCTTGCACTAGCACTTGGTTTTGAAATCAGAAGTGTTAAAAACATTGAAAAAGTGAAAGATTCATGTTGAGCCCTTTAACACCTATTTTAGAGCAGAAATGCTACACAAAATTATTTACATATAATAAGTAATAAAATGAATTCATTCTGCAGACTGGACAATGTAGAAATTAGGAAGCACTTTCAATATGAACAAAGTAGAAATAGAAATACCCCTTCAAAATGACCCTTTCTAGCTTCTGTTACCCGTTTTTTTTTCCAGAAATTATTTTCTATTGGTAATATATTGAACAGGCTACTTGCCCTTTTTCACTTACACTACCCCCAAATGCGTTGGTTTTTGTTTGGTTTTTTTTTTTTCCCCCTGGATTACTCTTACAGAGAACTCCCACTATGAAAGTTGCTGGCCTGTTTTTGCTTCATAAACAATACATTTTCTCAATCTGTAATCTAAATTAGTCTGAGAGTTTTGTATTTACAATATGTTCTTAGCATAAATGCCAAATTTCCCCTTGAAAACTAAGTGTTAAAGTCTTTGAGAACTGGCTGAAGTAACTTTAAAATGGATCTGAAACTTAGAAGTAGGGTGATGTGACACTGTGTTAAATTATTTTACTCCAAATTTTTAAAAGATTAACTAAATTCTGTTTAACTATTTCTATAATTCTACTATTTCTGCCACCATTACTAATAATCGGTTCAATGAGAACTAATATTTTAAGAATTAGAGAGTTAAATTTATACAATCTCTAAATTCTCTTTCTCAGCTCAGAATCTGCTGCCTTGAACTGGGGTAGTGGTGTAAGAAGGAAAGAAATGTAGCGACTTAACTTTATTAACTTAGATAAAATATGTAATTTAAACATACTAAAAGAAAACATCTCTTAAAGTTTTACAATTCCCTATAGTATTTTTACTGCAAGATCAACAATGGTTATCAAAACCAAGTCTAAATTAACATTTCCTCTCTTGGATCACTGCCTGCTTGGTGCCTGCTGTCATCGCCAGTATTCTCCAAGTCATTATTAGGGTATTTTTATTCAACTCTGCACTTCCCCTGGTGATACAATTTGTGGTAGTCCTGTCCTTCTCACCAAATTAAAGATATCTCTATTTATATCCAGATCTATCCTCGGGGACCTTTAGTAAACCAGGGATATAACTTTTTCTGTTCTTTCCAAAGTGACTTTGACCAAATTTACTTTGCTCTGTCCACGCTGTTGCTGTATCTTTACAGTTCTGTCATCTCACTATTCCATCACTATCACTGCCTTTCTTTAATGCTGTACACTCAGTCCCTGCTTTCTAGGCATGATAGTTTCACACATATGTTTCTTGTTTCTTAAAATGCTTGGGTTTATGTTATGCGTGAGTATTAGGTCTAATTTCTCCAATTTTTTTAAGCAGGTTGCTTACATAACATGCAAACTCCGATGGAGTTAGCGTGACATACTCTGTCATTTCTTATTTCACTTTTCTCAAGTTTCTTTGTCTGATTTGCTGTATTCCTCTCACTAATTGCATCACTTAGCCTATTACAGTTCTCATGAGTATGGCAGGTAAGTGTTTCTAATTTTTATGTTATCCTACTGCTTTATCATTCTTTATTCATTGCTGTGTCCTCATAGGCTGAATTCTACTCTCCTGCTGTATTAAACAAAGCCTAAACACTACCTGAATTTCTATTAGTCTTTTCTCCTTTTTTAGTTAGAGGCACATTTTGGCAGTTACACAAATTTTGATCCTCAAAAGTGGTATCAGGTGCAACCGATATCAGTTGCAGTCTCTCCTCCTGGTCTCTATACTCTACGCAGAAGGGGATTTCAGTCTTACTAAATCTGAGCCAAGAGCAAACCTAAGCTGAGAGCAAAAGGTTACCACAGCTCTGAAAATGTTTTCAGTCAGGAAGTCTGGGCCATCAAGGCAGCCGAATTCCATACCAATGGAAGAAATGGAAGGCATCTTCCAGGGAGCAGGCAGGCTATAATTAGTGTTAATGATAGACGTATAGAAACTGCCACAAGAATTTTGTCTTATCTCTGACAGTATCCAGAACTAATTCCTTCAGAGTAAGATAAAGGATGAACAGTTCCATAATGACTTGCTCCCTTTTTTGCTGTGTCTTGTTTGTTGTTTTGTTTTGTTTTGGTTTTTTTTTAAAAAGGATGTCCAACTTTCTCCTTAGTAGGCTTGTGATCAAAATTGCCACCATAAATGATCCATTAAGAGGAGAGAGATATCTGTAATTATTTTTAAATTTCTTGCTCTTCAGTTATATACCATTCATACCTATTCTTCTGTTGGAGTTGGTAGCAATTTTCAGTCTATTCCTGGTTTATATTTGCTGTTTGGCATATATTTACTTTGTCTAGTTTTATTAATATGTTTATTTACATGGATTGTATCTACTCTAGCTTTATCCACTGCATTTCTGATGCACCCTAATATTTTGTTTGACCTTACTAGGTGTTAGAGCTGGTTTGCATTTAAGAGAAGCCACTTCATAGCTGTCCATGTTATTTCAAGAACACCTGCCTGAGCCAATTAGAACCCCCTAAAATATGCAAATAGTTCAGGCAGTATGAATTACCTCTTATTTTCTAAAGGATCGATTTCATTTGCTATCACATAAACAGATAGTATTATGAGGTGCCTCTGAAATTCCTCAAAGTCTTGCAAAAACCTTCCTTTTTTACCTTTTCTGACAATCTTGGCAAAATTGTCATCTGATTCTTTTTCTATAATTATTCAACATTAGATAAGGCTGATACTAGAGCCTAAAGTTATTGCACACTGCCACATACAATACCAACACCAAACATGCTACCTTTCAAGACTGAATTATACAATCTAGTTTTAATGAGAGGTGTAATTTATTTCCCAGCAATTCAATCTCTTTGTCTTTAGATTTCTTCAAATCTTTTATTTATGCTCTGTTTAGGTCTGATGATATGCCAGTTTTTAAATTAGAAGCTTGCTTCTGTAACTCTTCTTTTGAATCCATCTCTGATGGTAACTCAAAGTAGCTCCATGCTAAAGAAGAAATATGCAAAAGATGAAGAAGTATACCAAGAAATATTTTCGCTTTTCAGCAGTATCCTTCAGCCTATCATGATTTTCCTTAGTTTTCTCTTTATTCCTCCTTGGTCAAGAAGTTGAGGAGTTTTCTTTCTGTATCTCACATAAAAATAGTTCTTGTTATCATTTCTAAAATTCCTGTTAATGTGTTAACTGCTGTAGTTTATACTTTTTACTGGATTCATGAATTTTGGATTTCTGTATTCTGCAGGATGAAGAGATAAATTATTTGGGTTTTCTATTTAGCAACAGTTGGCTTATATTTCTCCTACTGTTTTTGGAATATATTTCTCCTACTTTTTTTTTTTTCAGTTATGAATATCCTTGGGTTTTAGTATGCCCCTTCTTTCCCCACAAATCTGTGAATTTTAATTTATGTTCTTTTCTGTGCTTTAGGTCCGTCATTTCATTATCCTCTTTTTTTCCATTTTTAAGATTTCTCTTCTAAAATGTAGTGTCACAATGGTAAATTAGGACCTTTCCTCCCAGAGAGATGTTAAACTTAATGAAAGCATAACAGTAATTTCTAAATGTCCTGGCTGGAATCCTTAGCATTGATATACTTAGATTTGCATGTTCAAAATACAGACAACCACAAAACAGTTCAGTTCCTGAAACAGATATGAACAGTGTTATCTGGATTTTAGAGGTTAGGGAACAGCAAGGGAGAGTGATTTGCCTAATATCATGCCATGAGTCATTCTGTGGGCTGGCCTCTCCGCTGCAACATCTCTGAGGTGCCAGAGGAGCAGTCTCTAATGTCAAGGTAAAATTCAGATGACATAAATAGTTTTTACAGTTCTTTTATTTTTTTTCTCTTCTTTACTAGGGGAAATATAGTGAAGCTTTGGAATATTTCAGTCAAGCTTCTGAGGCAGCAAAAGCTTTAAATAATTTGCCCTTAGTGGATGAAACAAAGACTTATTGTGGCATTGCAAAGGCTCATAAACTGATGGTGGCATTTAACAGCCACATAGAAGCAGAAGATCCCGTCAGCCTCAAGTACCTGCTGGCATGGAAGGAAAACAGAAGTGACATGTGCACTGACCCTCTTACAGTCGGTAAGACATTGGTTATGAAACACATTAGTGCTGTATTGTCCTCAATGGTTAAGTCATTTTTCTTGTAGAGTTTTATTAAATTATTTCCTGTGTTTAATCCTTGTACTGAATGGAAGTTAGATTTGCTCCTTTGTGTGCTTATTTTAAAGGCTGAATTAAATAGGTTTAAATACAGTATAGCAATATATAGAAGTAGTTGCTATGGATGGTAACTTTTTTCAGTGCTGTTTTTTTAAACATCACAGTTATGGGCAAACAGTAATGTATTTGTTTAGTTAAATTTCTTTTTCTTTTATTTTTTAAAGAAAAAAAAATCTTCGTTTGCAGTCAGTTTTTCAAGTGCATCCAAAAATAAGTTCCTCGTTACTAAAAGTAAAAAGTAATTTCTGCTTGACATAGTGAACATAGTTCTGTATTCAGAAGAACATGCTGGTTTATTTTTGGCATCCTTATATTTGACATTGGAGGGAAAGAGAAAAAAAAGCAACTCTGATTTTTTTCACTGTGTTTTCTTGTCTCAAAGAGTAGAGTAGACTTTCTGTAGAGTAGGCCTCTTTCTTCATGGACTAATTCTTTACTTTTTTCTCCCTGTGCAATACGTTAATACAAACCAAACTGAATTATGCATTATCTCCAAGTATTTATAGTATTAAACAGTATTGTACTGTGGAAGGAAAAAGGGATAGGTCTGCTTTACCTTACAACTTTTCTTTCTGCATCCCCATGGAGAGTGTGAATCTGGAGTACAGTGGGAATAAATGACAGCTGAGCATAATACAGAGTTTCAGAGTGTCCAAATTCTCTGTTATCATACTCTCAAACTGCTTGTCTGCTATTTTCTTGTGTATCTTTTTCTTTCATAGACCTGCAACAATTAAGTATAACTTCAATTGTGAATTTTATATAAAATAAGTGATTAATAGCCTGGTGATTTAAGATGTTAGTGGTTTAACAGGAGCCAGGATACCAGAGACAACACTGGAAGCAACTGAGAGTTGTGGAACAAGGACATTCATTGGCATACTGAAGAAATAACAAATTAGATAGCACTCTGTTTAGAGTTCCAGTGATGATGGTAGCAGAGTTCTTTCTCCACAATAATGTGTTTCTGATTTGTGCCTCTATAAGTGAATATCCAGCACACTCACAGATTTTGTTGGCTGGCAGAGTTAATTGGATGAATGTTTCCTGCAGAGGGTGATAGTAAGTTTCTAGACCTGTAGTGCAGATGTCAAGAATTCCAACAGAGATGGTCAAAGCAGAAGCAATTTTATATGCATTTCATATAAGGATCATTAGCTATAGCTGATGTAAATAGGACGCCAACAAAAATCAACAATGACAACAGCAAAAAAAAACAGGTGCCTCAAAGAGATGGGATGATCTTTGTATCTTCAACATGTGTTTAACTTCTTGCACCTAAGGAGGTTCTCTGTTCAACTTTTATACATTGTCTTCTTCAGCCAGTTGTGAAACTCATTTATATCCTGAAATGATATGTGCTCCTTTTAAGCCTGAGCTTTATGCTTCTCTTTAACATTACTTCAGGGATAAAAAAGAGTATGATTAGAAAAGTCCTTTCTGTCCTAGCAAGCATGGTACCAGAAACAAGTTTTGCCTACTGATATTCTCTTCCTTCTGTATTTCTGCCTAGTTTACCCTCTGTTACTTTCAGTATTACAGTTTTCATTTTAGTTCCAGTTAACTCCAGGAACCCTGTGGCTACTGCATATTTAGCAGCTCTTCCAGTTCAATACCATTCTTCTCATTAGTGCTCCAAGCTTACTCTCATGATACCCAGATTACATCCAGGAAAACATAGTGTCATACTGTCAGCACAATCTGTAACATTCTTTATGTTTTCTGTGCCAAATCTCTCGTTAGTACTGGCATTACATTTTTAATATCTTTGTCTGGCAAAACATGACCTGGCACCAATTCAATATTAGGATTCACTGGCTTTGAGTTTCAGGTACAGCCTTTATCCTACCTTCCAGGAGAATGTCTGTACATCCTATGATGAACTCATCACTTTGGAAATTCCTGCTGTGATAATAGAACAGTATTTCTAGCTCTTTCAAACAGCTCAACATCGATAATATACTAGATTTTTCTCAGTCTTTTTGAGGATAAAACAGCTAAAGACACGATACAATGGTAGTTCTTAATCCACAGGGGAATTTAATGAAAGAAAGAAGGAAGATAGTAAGTTTTTATTTCTAGCTGTTCTGACTGAATAATTTTTCTGTGACAAAAAAATGAGAGTAGTTTCTGTATTCTTAGGCAAAATAAATACTTGGGCTAGTGGAGGAACAATGACATTTAAATTCAAGTACTGCCATAAAGCTTATGTCTTTCAACCAAGGCTTATTTTCTAAATCAATCATTTCAATAACCAGGCAGGAAGAACCATTAATTACTCAATTTACCTCAACATTTATTAATAAAATTGATGTTTTGTCCGAAATTGTCATGGACAAAAGAGATGGGATTATCAGAAAATGGTGTTTATAAATGCAAAGGAGAATGTGTTTCTATCTGCTGCATTTGACTCAGTCACCTGACTTAATTTACAACAGAGTTATTTATGCTGTTGTGAGATGCCACTTCAAGAACAAATACATTTTCATTGATCTTTTTATGTTTAGTCAAACGTATAAAAAATAATTATCAGCGGAATCAGTAGGCAAAAAAGCTTGTGAATCCATGTTATAACCTAAAAAGGAACCCACTGCATGACAAACATTGTCTGATGAGAGAGTATTTCATAAGTCTTTAAATACATAATCTCCTGATTTGTCACCTTCTAGAAAGGAGAAGAATAATTAAAGGTGGCGAAGGCAGGAAAATTTTGGGGCAGATTTTAGTTATTGATTACATGAAATGCTGACCAAGATTTGTGTTTTCTGTGAGTCTGGCAACTCAGTCCAGGTCATTGCATCTGGCAGAGCTGTGCCTCCGCAAGAGACCTTGGATGCTTGAAATCACCTAAACACTTTTAAGAGTGGACTTAAAACATATTGTTTTCCTCATACTAAAAAGTTTTCAGTTGTTTTCTCAAGAGATGTTATGTGCTTTTGACCACAAATTAGATTTACATTTCGTGACTTCAGAGAACTTTTCAAAATTGACACATTTTACCATAGATTTTCTATGTTTGTTCTGTTGGGGTTTTTTATAACAACTAAAAATGCAGCATAAATTATTTTCTTACCCACATCATCAGTTGTGAAATCTTATGATCAATGAAATTGTCTTGTACCATTAACTTCCAGATGATCAGGTCTATTTCTAGCATTCCACACCTGAGCAGCTTTCACTATGATTTAAAATGCATGCACCAGCTAAAACTATGGATTGGAAAATACAATCCAATGAGCTTTTGTTCTTACTCCCAAATATGTAGTCCCTCCATATTCTTCCTCCAGCTCCCTTTCATAGATTTATGGAATGATACGTTCCATAATGTGAATGTGTCCTTTTTGTTGTGTAAAATGTTAAATTGTCATCTTAGCAATTCACATTTTTAAAAGCTCTTTAAGATGTTTTATATTTTTCTGTAAAAGATGCGGCTAGCTCAAAATTGTTAATGTGTCGAAGAACAGGTATCTTACCAGGTACATTTTAGATTGAGCTTGTGTGTAACTTTGTCATTCATTAATAAAAGGATTATCCCTGAAGAATGGTGAAGTCAGAAGTGAGATATGAGATCAAAGATTACACTAAACAAATTCCGTTAACATTTCTCTACTGTGACTTACTATAGCCATGTAATTTATGGACCATTTTGGTAATAGTGTCCAACAGTAGAACAGTCTGCTTCATAACGTAATAAACTGCTTTTTTACTGTCTCTTCTTTCTGAAGTGCAGGAAAACTTCTAACATTACAAATCTTGTCTTTCCTCCATTAATAAATTATGTTAGTTACCTCAAATGCATGCTAAATAAAACTGTTATGCCGTGGCACTGGACCCAAAATTCTTGCCTGTACTTTAGCAAATCAAAACCAATCTTCATCAGGAATGTGCATTGTAAATTATACTTTGTATTTGCCCAGTAAATATTCATCAGTAGTAGCATATTTTTTGATCTGAGAACATTTAAGAGAAAGAAAAGATATGATCAAAACTACAAAAATAGCTAGTCTTTGTACCTTACACAGATACATATCCATAAAATAGTTCTTACATGATGTAGGTAGAAAGGTAGAGGCTTGTGTTAGCAGGTTCTTTCACTGCATATTTCATATCTAAAGCTCTGTCATAGTTTTTCATGTATCATGATACTGATGTGGGACTACCAGAGCTGAGCACATGCACGTGCTCCCTCAAAGCCACTGTTTGTGTGTCTGTTTTATTATTTGGCTCATTTATTTAGTAAGTTTTATTCTGCAGTTAACATTTGCAGAAAGCAAATATATAGGCTTATATAGTGACTGAAATTAGCATGTAGTCTTATTATTTTCTTTTAACATGTTTTTTCTTAATAGTACGTTTCTGGGTTTTGTAACTAACTTGTTCAGTAAAGATAATTAAATGTAAATGTTGTCAGTGACAAAGTAGCTAGACTGAATTTGAACAAGTCAAATTTTCTTCCCAGTCCATGCTGTAAGAAGATGGGAATGATTCAGACCGTTGTCTGGGGAGGTGGAGAGCGTGCCCATGCCTCCTCCCTCTCAGCAGTCTTACCTGTGCAAGAGTCTGGAGATAGGGTCTGTAATGGACTCTGCTTCAAGCTCTATATGCTTATGATTTATCTCAATAGCAAGTTATGCAAACTGAGTGTTTATTGCATTTTTTTAGAATGTATGGTTAATATGACCAAAGATAATGAGACATAGAAATTATTTTAGAGAGAGATTTTGGTGTTTTCTCAGAAAATACAACTGAACATGAAATAAGGGAACTACATAATTGTTCATGCTGTTAAATAAGAACTATGATTTTAAATTACGGAAAAGGTATGTGACCAAGCGCATACAGACTCAAGGCTGTCCCTG